TTGCAGTAGGTCCCACAGGAACCCCAGGAGCTGCAACACTCGGCCCCACAGGAACTCCAGTTGATGCCACACCCGGTCCCACAGGAGCTCCAGTTGGTGCAATCGGAGCAGCAGTCACAACATTCAACTGCGTCAACGCAGTCACCATCCTGTCTACTGCCGATTCGATGCCTTTCAGATACTGCAGTGATTGTTCATGCTGCGAGCGTCTTTCTTGCTTGATTTCGTCCAACCTCCTGTTCCCTGTATTGATCTTGTCGTTCAAATCACGACAAAGCTCTTTCAGCGTTGGATTGACTTGGGATTTGCTCCCAGTCACCTGCCAGCTGATATTGTTCATGGACGTCGAGTGCTGTTGCATCGATGTTAGGAAGTACTTGGCGGACACTTGGTCCACTCCTAACTGAATGCAGAGAGCATCTATTTCCTTTTGGCCTGCTGCAAACTTTCATTGGTACTGTCCAAAGTGGACGTCGAGGCGGTGAGGCCAATCACAACGTCTTTCACAACCTTCACCAATCCACGAATTTCCTTATGAAGTCGGCTCTTCTTTGCCGGCGGCTCATCACCAGTTTCAGCTGCACGTTTGTCGGCTGGATCCGCAGCTTCCGCATCTGAGCTCGGCAAACTTGCCGCTTCATCACGAGGGGACGGCTTCGGCGAAGCTTTTGGAGATGCAACACCTTCCACGTGCGTGGGTGTTGCTCCAGGCACTCCATAGGGCACGGCTTCTCCAGTTCCCGGCGCCCTTGAGCTATTTGCCGTCGCATTTGCGGCATCCGGAGTTTCAGCCACCGTATCGACCTTTGGAACCTCCGTCGAGGTGTCAACGTGACTGCCCATCTTCCAAAGAGAGTGAAACAGACGGCGAAACGAAAAGCAGTTGATCTTAGATCCAGAATGCTATTGGCAACTGTGCTAGATTACAAACAGTAAAACACGGCTCCCAGCATTACCTAGACGGACAGCTTTTCGTACGGCTTCACTCTACTTACCAAAAATGAAAACCAAACCACATGTTCCAAAACAAAACAGAAAAACGAGAGTTTCACTGGTTTCACGTTTCGTGGTGTTGTTTCAAAAACGTGTCGTGGCATGACATGCAAACGAAAAACTTCCAACAACTGCAACCTGAGTGTCAGCATGTAGCGCTCCATGTGCACTTCAGAAATTACAGTTAGACAGCGAAAAGTCCGAAACGAGTTCACATCACCTCACTAGTCAACATCGTCCAACAATGCTCACCAGTCGCACATGACAAAGACTGACCAAAGAACCGAGACGGAAAAGGCCAGGACACCGTCACGGAAAACAGAAAAAACTCCAGCAAACCATCCAGACGGGACAACAGAAGTACTCAAGGTCCACATCCGCCGATTCGCAACAAAAGAACAGTACAAAGTGAAAACTGTAGGAAGGTTCAAAGACCTTCAGTTGGAGCAAACTGGATTCCAGGCGGTCACCTGCGATTCCAACGTCTATCGAATTCAAAACCTTAGCGAAATGCCGTTGAGTCACAAGCGAAAACAAAAGTTCCTTAGCAAAGTGCCTCAGTGGAACAGGCTTGTGTCATGCAATTCGTTCGGAAAATTTCAGGTTTCAGGTGCTACCGACCCCTCCAACAAACTTGACATCATCTCCCCTTCTTCGGCTAGCTAGCAACTGCAGCCTACGCTGAAAGGTACGGATCCATGACAAGCCATTTGTGTCGAGTCCTGGCACCAAACCTACCTCCTGTTCGAGGTTAATCAGCATATCCCTAGTCTTAAATGACTTAGTCAAACCATCACTCGGGTTTTGAAGTCCAGGGATGTGCTCTAGCAAAAGGCGTTTCTTTTTCACCAGCATTTGAATGTACTTCGCGCGAAGTTCTATGTGCCGGACGCGTCGCAGCAACCCTTCCATCGAGCTAATGCTGATCGCGGCCGTTGCATCGTTGCGCAAAACCAACTGGTAAGTCCCTGTTGTACACTGCGGGGTTCCCAGAATGGTCAGCGGAATCCCATCCAAAATAGATTCCAGCAACATGCCTAACGATACCAACTCCTTCGAGTTTTCGGTCATCGCGCACAACTCCGCCTCTGCACTACTCAAAGCTGGACATTCCTGTTTTCTAGAAAACACCTTGATGCAGCAACCTTCGAACATCAAGACTCCCCCTGACACGGAGGCCACATTCCAAGACGCGTCGCAGAAACCAACAACGCTTCGCGGTCCTACGCTTGGCGATCCTTCCGGAGAAGGCATGGTCTGCACGCGGTGAAGGCGCGTCAACAACCAATGCAACAGTGCACGCAAACAAGCTTCTGCTGCACCTGATGGTTTCGACTGGAATCGCGCAAGGTATGAAACTGAAAAACACAAATCTGCTCTGGACAAAGCGGCCCACGCCAACTGTCCCAGAACCCTGCGATACCGTGCTTCACCCTCCGCTGTCAAAGGCGTGTCTTCACCCTGTTTCTCGCGATCTTTGTAGATCTCTTCCAGCTTTGGCGGTGTCTCATTCGGTTTCAACTTCTCGTGCCAACTGTCGATGACCCCTGTCATATAGGCTTCACTTACCCCCAGATTTAAGGTGGATTCCCCATCCCTTTCTCGATAGATGGTTCTCCCCAAAAACTGTAGGACACCTTTCTCAAGCGCTAGAATCCTTCCAGTAAGTTTTATTCGCCAAATCTTCTGCAACTGTTGCAAGAACGATTCACCCTCTTGCGGACTTTCAGCCGCGACGAGTAAGTCGTCGACGTACACCAGCACTAAAAGCATTCCATTGGGCGTCTGCAACCTGAATAAAGTATTAAAGGTGTCTTGACCTCCCATGGAATATACCACCCGCTGCAATTCGAGAAACCACAACAGTGGGGCTCGCCTAAGCCCATTCATGGCTTTCCCTAGCCATGCGATCACTCGACATCCCTTGATTGTGAGGTTCGCCGGAAGTAACACTAAGTCACAAGCTTCAGCTTCCACTGGCGCATGCATGAACGCCACAGAAACATCAGCGGTCAGCAAACTGAGATCTTTCACCACGGAAACTGCAAGCACACAACGAAGCCCGTCCAACGACGACGTTGGAGCGTAGATCCCAGCATTCAAAGCTGAGGTCCCTCCCGTAGCGAAGTCTCGAACTACAAGGCGACACCGAACGATTTCTGAGGTCTTTTGGGTCAATACCCAACGTGAGGTCAAGACCGTGACTTGTTTCTCCTTAGCAAGTGCCCGGCCATCCCGTTCTACAAGGCAGCGCCCGACCTTAAGTCTCTCAAGCTGCTGTACCTCAGTCTTCATTCCCTGCTTCACCTGTTCAAAGTCCAAAGCAGCTCCAGTGAGCTCGTCAAAAGAACTTTCAGGAATGTCGACTCGAACCTTTTGACCTCCAAAGTCCTCTTCAAAGAAATCACCATTTCCCTCACCAACAGGGAAAACACAACCAGACTCTCTCAAACAAAAAGTGTTCCACACATCAGCTTGTGTTTGAAGAATAAGGTTGTTCAACCACGCATCCCCTTCTTCCTCCTCAGATCCTTCCCCTTCTGAACCCTCATCGACCCTGTCGATCGTCATGGGCTCAGGACCTTCACCTACCTCACCTGCATCTACATCCATGCCATCAGCTCCATCTGCAATGGGCTGTGGAGACACCTCTTCCCTTGGGAAAACCGGTGGATCCAACTCTGGTGGAAAATCAGGTGGTGGTAAAGCCTGTTCTGCCTGTGGCGCCTCAAGACGTGGTTCTGGGAAGTCCTGTGGCCTGACGCCTGCCAAAAGAGGAAAAAGAGATTCAACATCATACTGGAGAGGTTCCTTCAGTTTGAAAGAGTGACCTTTGATCACCTCACGATACCCTTCAGCATCAACAGAAAACGGGTACCCCAAACAACCTCCACCAGTCACATACCTCATGCCGAGAAAATGGCACAACACCAAACACTGACCAGGCCATTTTGCAGGGTGAATTGGTTTCAAAAACCCAACTGCCCCAAAAGGATAAGACCTAGGTGCCTGACCTCCCCGTTTTTCTCTCAAACGTTCTAAGGGGGTGCTCCCAGCCTTTCCCTCACAGTATGCGTTGTACGTCCTGTAGACATGTCCCACCAAATATCCCAAAAGGGGGGATTCCAACGCAATCCTGGCATTGCAATGGCGTTCAAGTGCCAACCAGTTGGCATAGATCCCTTCTTTCATGATGCAAACGGCTCTCTCGATGCCTTTTGCCTGGGGTCTTGCCTCTGAAATGTTTCTCCAGTGATAGCCTCGTGCTGAACTAGCTGCAAGGCCTCTTTCAACCAAAGATTTTAGTGCTGCCTCATTGTCAGTAGCTACTTCTACAGACAACCCTCCAACACCAATCTCATTGAGAACTGCTGCAGTGGACTGCACGTCACGTTCTTTATCACCACCACAAACCACCATGCCAACCATCCCAGTGTGAACCATCAACAGGACCAGAACTTTCCAATGTTTCCCTGCTACAAAAAGGAAATCAGCAGCAAGACTGTGTTTCATGCTTATGCCCTACTCTCCTAGCAGGTGTGCGTCCTCTTGACTGCACGCAATCATCACATCCCCTGTCATAAGGCCAATGGCCCCTGCACTCATGTTCCAGCCTGAGACGTCCATCACCCAATTCAGGGACACTGCACTCCAGATCTGATCCCTCTGGACCATCTGGTGTGTCTGGGCGTTCTGGCAAACCAGGTTCATGGGGACCCCAACCCTCCAAATCTTCTGAATTGGCAAGTGATGGGGAACCAACTTCAGAAACCTCACCTGCCTGAGGTCCATCACTGTCATCAATTTCATCCTGTGTCAAGTCCTCAACCTGAGGAAAACCACGCATCATCCTGAAACAAGGGTCCACAAACGTCCAGTCACACCTGCATTTCCGATCAGATTGACCTGAACCTGTCCTCCCTTCATGGTATTTCCACTCCATGCATTAAGATGTGCCATGGTCTTCTTGACAAAACTCTGCAACATCACAACATGACATGTAATCTTATTTCCCCCACAAAACCAGGATCGATTGAGACCATCCCAAGAAGGTGGTGGAAGTTTCGATTGTCAAATTAATACCCATATAATTAGATATTAATTTTTAAGACGTACAGTCGTGATGTACAGTAAGTTGAATTTATGTAAGTATATCATTTACATAAACAAAACTTACTACAAGTTACTACAAAAAACGCAGTTGCCAACGCTTCGAAAACGAGAAACAAGTGCACCACACTCGGACTTATTGTTGATTTCCTTTTTGCTTCCAGAAATTGCACTGTCGGGGGTCTAATCCAAAGCCGGTCGTGGTTCCAGCTGAGCTTGTCTTTGGTGCATTGGATGGGCCATGATTCCATCATTGTCAAACGTTGACACAAAGTGATTTGATGCTAAGTGTCAGAGCACCCGATGATTCCCCAATTTTTGGGTGGGAATGAAAAACGGGGTGGGTGAAAAAATTGCCCTTACTTAAAAGGGACTCCCGCCCTCCCGCCACTTGATTGGGAAAAGCCACAGCATTACAAATGATGATGTGACATGTGAAGGATGTGCTTGCTTCCAATGGATTCTGAATGCCACATCGAAACATTAAAAATTGAAATGGGAAGTTGAACGCCAAGTTGTTTGCGTCACCACATTTGGTTGGATGTTTCAACCCTTCACAAACTTTGTTTACCACCGAAAAGGGGAATGTTTCGTTTTGATCCTTATTTGTGAGGCTTCACAAATTTTTGTTTGGAGAAATAAGGCTTTCATCTTTTTTCAAAAGAGTGACATCTTATTTCCCCCACAAAACCAGGATCGATTGAGACCATCCCAAGAAGGTGGTGGAAGTTTCGATTGTC